CTGAAATTGTTGAATATTTTTTTTATAATTTTCATGAAGGCAGAGCCAGGGCAGTGCAGAAAGATTTAAAAATCTCAGTCGGTAAAGACATTTATGAATTTGAGTGGTACTGCCGTCAGGATTTTTTTTTTTGTCTGTTTTGTTAAGTGGTAGTCACCCCTTGAAAAATGTGTTACTGTTCTACCTCCACGATTAAATTCACAGCCTGCTTGCAGTGTGAAAACGCTGTCAGTGATGCAGTTGCGTTTGCAAGCTTTGTTTGTGAGATGTTTTCACTTACCTGAATCCGAATTAAACTCGGGGTGCTGTGAAATCAGTTCAGAAGGTGCTCTCTGCAAAATGGAGCACCACCACCGACATCTGTGTGCCGCTTGTCCGTGCCATCAATTAGTCCTTACGTTTAAGACTTGATCTATGGGAAATGAAGAATGAGAGAGGTTTTAAATACGAATTATTGGAGTTTTGATTGTGGAGAGAGGTTTTAAGTAGGAGTTTTAAGTATGGAGAAAGTAATAATCTGAGATAAGATGGGAGATCTTTTGGTGCTTTTAGTCTACGTTAATCCTGTAATTAGCCCCTTAAAGTTTCATTTTTGTTTTTGGTACATTCTAGCTTTTTCTTTGTCTCCATGGAGTTAGATTTGATGCTTTTTAATGCAGAGCTTTCTGTAACTTCTTCATTCGACTTCTTTTAAGGATTTTCAGGAGAAATTATTGCCTTTAGGTTTCTATCTTTATAAATTTATGTCCTCAGAGATATAAAAGCAGATTAAGTGTCACTATTGCAGCAGAAAGGAAACTCAGCAATACATGCAACAGAAACAGACTGTCAGCAAAAAAAATTCAGCTACGAGAAGTCAGCATTAAAAACAATCTTATTATTTGTCTGAGGTACAATGTTGCCCCAGGGAAAGTCAACAGGGGCTTTCCTATCCATTTCTGTAGCCAGAATTCATCAGAATTCATCCTTTAGTTATAATTTGAATTTATAGTATGAGCTTTAATTCCATTGAAGTGAAATATTTTTTTAAAGGAGAAAGATCAGGGAAGTAAAGCCCGGAAGACATACTGCCATCTTTTCATCGCTGGAAAAAAGAAAGAAAAAATATTTTATACCTGCAAATCTTTCGCAGGTCTGAAAGAAGAGTGAACCAAGGTGCTTGGGAAGCCAGGTATAGCATAGGCCGAACCCCATGGTCTTGCTTGTTGGGACCGGTTGTAGACTGGCTTGTTAAATGGCTGGGGAGGGGAAGGCCAAGAGCACAAAAGGCCACTTGCTTCGCGGACTGAAATAAGGCTTAACTATCCCAAAGGAAAATTGACACATATGTAACTCGAGGAATAAAGCCAAGAGTACAGATGGTATGTTTTATATCGATGTCTTTTCACTTCATTCTTCCCGTGCACTTTTTTCCACGCTTCTGGTTGATTGAGCTGAGCTTGCAAAACACTGAAAGTGGTGACCAAGCCTTTGCAATTTCCAGCCATCGATAGGCTTCCCGGTCACTGCAGCCCCAAATTAAAATTGTCCAGTAGAAAAAGGTCCGTAATGGTGCTCTGTGGGTTTTCACATGACAGATCTTGATCACGTCAGCTTGCCAGGCTGATTGTAGTTTAATTGCAACCACCATTTCCAGCCAGTGTGTTGATTCTTGGCTTGCACCTTTGTAGACTGCAGTCACTGAAATGATGGAGCTTATTTGCTGGCCACTCACAGCGGAATTGAAAGACCTATGCAGTAATACCCGAAATTAGAGTCCGTGTGACTGATTTCTCTGGCCATAGCTGGCTGAGCGGTAGGTGTAAGTGGGGCAACTGTGTCAGCTCCACTGAAATAATGATGTACGGCAGCTCCTGTTGTCAGTCCTGAGGAGGAACTGACAGTCCCTTTGCTGGGCAAGTTCATGCTGTATGAAAAATTAATTTCACCCACACTGACAAATAAGTTAAAATACAGTCACTTAGAAAAGGAGGGCAGTTATATTAATGTGTTATTTATAATGCACCCGTGATGCATGATCCTGTGTTTTACCCTGTAGTTTTGAATATTCACTAGTATTTGGACAACTACAACTCTGCCAGAAGTAGCATTTTGGATTTGAGCAAACTCTAAAATAGCTGTTCTTTCAAGCGGCATCACCAGTCATGCTACACCTTTTCCTCCTCTGCCTCACATACACAGAATATACCTGAAAATTATACTGCCCTGTGGCTCAGAGCAGTTTGAGCTGAATCTGGGTTGGTGGCAGCCTTGGGGTCCAAAATACTTTGGAGTTGTGTTTCTTTCCATGCTGGTCACGAGATCTCTAAACCTACAACATGACGGTTACGTCTGCAAAAGTATTTTGGGTCGTTCAGCATGGTTCCCCTGAGAGACTTGTACTGCTGCTTTCCCTATAGCGAGGTGGAGGGATGGGTAAGTAGTATGTGCCTGAGAAAACTGTAAAGCAGTTCTGAAATTTCTGCCTCAGGGAAATGCCTGGTTTAAGGCATGGTATCAGTACTTGATAACAAAAGGCTATTTGAATTCTTGATTTGCTTTACCTGCCAAAATAACATACTGATTGCTCAGCTGGTGTGAGGAGTATGCTTATTTACAGTCTCCTGGAACTTCTGTACAACAGCATCATGGGTTGGTTTTTTTTTTCAGACATTCTCTTTTTCCCTTTCCCCTGAACCTATAAATAGTTTAAGATATACAGGATATTAGATGAAAGCAAGATAAATGTAATTCACAAGTTTAAAAAAAAATAATAATTTATACTTCATGCATGCACTGACAGAATACCTGAGCTTTGATCATCAAAGTTAGGTTGATTTAAATAAAAAAGGCAGTGGAGTTTTATTCTGAAATAACCCCCTCAAATCTTGAAGAATAGCACTATGATGCTGGTTTATTATCCCGGCTAATCAAATTATCACAGGTTATAGGCAAAATGGAGGATTTTTTTTTTAATCTGCTAGCATAGAAATGTCAAAGCAGGATCTCCAAGCAAAACACTATTTTCATACCCGTAAGCATTTAATCTTTTGAGAACCAAATAGCTATTATTACACTTTCTGTTCATAATATCTGTCTAAAATCAGTGGGATTTCTCATATACTCTAAATTAGAGGATTGAGAATCATCTTCAATTTGCTTTTTAAGCAGGGAGGGGGGAAAAAAGCCAAAATTCATGGCAAGGCCTATTATTTTAGATATGTACTTTGATAGTATCCACTTCCAGCTGAGATCAATTGGTCATAGCTTTTGGAAGACCTCAGTGTCCTGACCACTCCAGCAGTTTTGGCAGACGCTCCTAATATAAACCCAGCTATATCAAGAAAGCTCTGCTGATACAGCTTGCTTTGCTCAGAGCAGTTTTTCATGTACTAGTACAATGTCTGGCTGTGTCCACAGGAGGTTTTGTTGGTATAGCATGTTCGTAGCCAGTGTACTATGCTCATGTCTTGTGTTTTTGCTATACATCGCTCACTTCAAATTTGATCATGTGTCA